GGAAGGGAAGAAGTCTCACTTCTTTCTCAAGTGGAGTGTTTACACCTTGCTGTAACATTTGAACTTTCACAAGAGATGTAATAATTTTGATAATAAAATTCTTAACCATAATAACCATCAAGTGGAAAAGTTCTTTGTCCAGTTCTGTGTCCCGAGCCACCCTCAGCTGCAAGGGCAGGACGGGCCGTGTTCAGGAGCCACGGCGCTGTCCTGCCCGCGGGGGGAGGGGCCAGGCCAAGCCAGGGCCTGTCCGCAGTGGTGGGCTGGTGCAGCCCAGCAAGGGGTGCGGGTTTCCTCCGCCATCAGTCAGCAGCTGTCTGTTGGCGGTTCGGGGCAAGTCTGTGCTGACTACAGTGGGGGTTTGAAGGGTGGGCAGGTGAGGCCCCCGCTCTCGGGGAGCTCCCCCCAGCCGAGGGCGCGCATTCCCTCCCTGGCCCCAGGCGCCATCGGGCTCCATGCTGCTCACAGCGGTTTGTAACTGGGCCGGGGGTCGCCCCAGATTGAAGCCGAGATCCCAGTCAGAAGAAAGCGTCACGGGTGACAGGAGCAGCGGTTGCTGCTGGGGACCTGGAGCAGCATGTGCGAAGCTTCTAAGGTGGGAGGGCTTGGTGGGGGCACCAGGAGTGTCAGGGGAGGGCAGCAGACCCAGCAAGAGGAGGATGGGCAGGAAGCCTAGAGGGCAGGTGGGCACTGAGTGCTGAGGCTCCTCGGGCGGTGGGGGCCTGAGAGACGGTGTCGGTCAGCTTCGGCCTCGCATCCCGAGCCTCGCGGGTTTAGTCCAGAGTCCAGATTCTGAGTGTCGGCCTCACCGCTGGACTTTCGGGAGACGAGTGACACGGTCTGGTTTGCTTCACAGGTTGGTTGGTTTTTGGAAAACCATGGACTGTTTTGGTCCCGTAGGGAGAGGTGACTAGAAGCCGGCCACCTGACTGGGAAGCGCCGGCCGTCCTGCGGCCAGCGCGGAGCAGCGGTGCTGCCTGTGAAGGTGCCGTCCCTCCCCTGCGCCGCCGGCGGCTGGGCGCACGTCTGCAGCACGTGCTGGCTGAGACCTGGGCCGGAGGCCTCCTGCCTGCCGGGTGCGCTAGGGCCGGGTGGAGACGGTGCTACGTTTCTCTGAAGAGCTCAAGGGTGTCCAGTGGGTGTGTGCTGAGAAATGCAGGTCTCCTGGAAGGGGCCTCCCATGGTGTCCATTGGAATGCCGAGGGCGCGGCCGCGGCGCACCCCGCCGGGAGTGGGGACACGCGTCCTCCAGCCCAGCCGGCAGAGGCAGCGTCTTGGGTCACCCCTCTCTCTCTGTGGTCCAGGTTGCCTGGACGCTGACTAGGCTCGCCCAGGGAGGTCTGCACTGTGCTCATGTGCACTCAGCCGGGTGCAAGGGAAACGATGTTTCTGTTTGATAATTTCTTAAATGAGCTGCAGGAAAGTCCAGGGTTTCTCTTCAGACGCAAGCCAACAGTTGTGGGAATTCTGCAGTTTACCCAAGAAACATCTAGAGAGACTGACCTGAATGAAGCCATCTAGCGCTCTCGCCGGGAGCCACAGTCTGGCCTTGGGGTGCCACGGGCGTTGGGCTGCCACAGAGTCCTTGGTGAACAGAGACCACCTGCCGAGAAGATGCCCAGAGGGCGATGGCCACTGGCCCTGACACGTCTTGTGCCACCTGCTTGCTCTGTGGCACAGGGAGTGAAGGGGTCCGCTGGGCCCAACTGCAGCCCGTGCCGAAGGTGAAGACGGCGCCCGCAGGGCCATCCGCTCCTCCGGCCGCCACACACCAGGTAGGGCCTGAGATCTTCATTTCACCGCTTCCCAAGGACCCCTGTAAAAGTGCACAGACTAATCGTGATCGCAGACAACACCTGGAACACCTTGCGACCCCAGAAGGCGACGTGGCAGCCCCTTTTGTCCTGAGAAGCCTGCTCTCGGGTGCCTGGACCAGCACTGGAAGCCCAGCAGGCCGGCGAGGCAGCGGGAGCGGGAGGTCTCGCGTCTGAGGGCGGAGCAGCCCGAGCCCCAAACCGTTGGAACCGGCAGAGCTCTGCTGAGGACTCTCCTGGGACCTTCTAAACCGGTGGGGGCCACATTGAAGGATTAGGTTGAGTCCTTCTAGGGGCAAGGTGAGCATATGAAATAATTGATCGTGTTCAACTCCTGAAGCAGTGAATTCTGAGCATGTTGTGTGCTGAATGTCAGCAGCTGTGTCCCACCGTCCGTGGGTCTTAGATACAGGAAGTCCTGAAGCCTTGAGCCAGTTTCACCAGGCACGCCTCGCGAAGGTCAACACCAGTCCCGAGCTTAAAGCGGCATGAGGAGCAGAATGTCGGTACCAACAGTACGAGCTTGGCAAGGGCATGAGGTGAGCATTTTAAAATGTGGCAGCTGGGAGCGGAGGGACATCCTCCACCTGACGAAGAACACTTGCCCGTGAGCCCACGGTGAGCAGCCATGAGCAAGAACAGGACAAGGCCCCTCTCGCCACTCTGTCCCATTAAACACTAAACACAGTTCTAGCTAACACAACATGACAAAAAGATTTAGAAGTAAATGGAAGAGAAAAGCAAAACTTTGTTCACAGATGACATAAATTAGAACATTTTTTAAAAAATCAACACCCCTCCCCCTCAAATAATAGGGGAATTAAACATTTATAGCAGGGTTGCAGGAAATGTAACTTGCTCTCTGACATAACAAAAGCAAACATTGGAATCAAATTTACAACTAATATTTATGTCAGCACTCATGAAAATACAGGATCCAGTCAGACGACGACAGAATTGATGGCGGAAATGGTGGATCAGGAAACAGAATTCTCCACTTGGTCTAGAGAGTCCCAAGCCCATAAAATCTCAGCAAGTTACTTTGCGGATATCGAGCTGATGCTGAAGTTGGCGAGGTGGAAGCCCCGGAGCAGCCAGCCAGCGGACTGACAGCCTGCAGCGGCGTCTCCGGAAAACAGGCTTGAAGACAGCACAGAGCCGAGTGGTCATCGTGAGGGTAAGGACACATGAGCAAAGTAGTAAAATGAAGAAAAGATGGTCTTAGCAACCAGCGGTGCTGGAGCAGCTGGACATCCTCAGTACGCACAAGTGACTCCAAACACAGACCTTAACACCCTCAAAAATGTAAAGAGCATGAAAATATATCACAAATGCAAAACTACTAAACACCTATTAAATAACACAGTAGGATACCTTGGATTTGGGGAGGCCTTCCATGAAAGACACTGGTTGGCTGGACTTGATTAAAAGTAACTTCTGCTCTGCAGTAGGCCCTGTCAGGAGAGTAAGACGAGCCACAGACTAGATGTAGCAGACAACAGACTGTCAGCAAAAACACACCACAAATCCTGAAAACACCCTAATAAGGAAACTCCCTAAAGCAGTCTGCAGTCTGCGCAGTCCTTTCTAAGTTCCAGCGCCATTTTTCACAGAAATAGCTCAAAATCTTCGTGGAACTACAAAGGGACTCATCAAAGCAACGTTAAGACCAAACTTAAAGGCATTGTATGTCCTGATTTCAGCATCACAATGCTACAGCAATAACAGTGTATTGGAATTACCACACACACATATGGCGGATTAAGTTGCAACAAAGAAGCCAAAAGTAGGTAGTAGGAGAAGAAACAGTCTCTAGCAAATAGCACTGGGACAGACTGGACCCTTACCTCACACCATACACAAAAGTCAACCTGAAACGAATTCAAGGCTCGAACATAGTAGGGCTCAAAGTCATCAAATGAGAACACTGAGCTCCTGGCAGGGGTCTGCACGGGTTTGGTTTGGCTTTTTCCTTTGATGCCAAACGCAGAGACAGCAAGTGACAGGTGCTCCATCAAACCAGAAGGCAGCTACAGCAAGGCAACCTGTGCACAGGGAGAAACGTGTCCGTCGTGTCTGACGGGTTAGTGGCCGAGAGGGATGGAGAGCTCGACAACTGCTCGGGAAAGCGCAGTGGGCGAAGGATGTGAGCAGGCGGCTGTGCCCATAGCAGGTGCGCGGAAAGGGGGTCGGCACCAGCACCCCTGGGGAGATGCAAGCCGACCGCCGCCTCCCGGGGTGACCTTCCTGGAAGACAGGAACGAGGGTGGACAGGGACATGGAGAAGGGGGCTCGGCTCTGCGCTACTGCTGGGGCCTTCGCCGGGGCGGCCCCTGAGGGAGACGACGTGGAGGCGCCTCAAAAAATAAAAACTAACTGTCGTGTAACCCAGCACCCCACGTCTGATGCACCCCCATGGCCGCTGCAGCACAATTCTAGCATCCAGACAGGTAAACAGCCTGTGTGCGCATGACCGTGGGATACTGCGCAGCCGTGAGTGGCAGGATGGCACCGCTTGAGACGGCGTGCGCGGATGCCGAGGGCGTCTGCGCAGAGAGAGAAGGACCTGGGAACCCACTGCATCCTCCCCCCGCTTCCACAGTTGCCTGCATTTGTGTTGTGCTGAATTTGTTCCGGGACCCCAAATTGTTGTCTTCTGGGATATCCGTCTTCTGTGCAGCCCCCCTTCTGCTGAGAGCAGTCTCTGTCCCCAGGCAGGCCCGCCCAGCCTGGCGCGGAGGGCACCTCGGGGCCCACTCCGGTGCCGTCCCCCTGGGGCTCTGTCCACCTGGACGTACGCAGTGGCCAGAGAACCCGCATCCAGACCCTGAAGTTCACCGCTTGGCGCCTCTGAGTACCTGACGTCCCACGTCCAGCCCCGCCGTCCGGCCTGGCCACGCCACCAGCACCCATGGGTCACTTCTGTGCTGTGACACCTTTGGGGCACTTGGTGGCTTTTCAGAACTGAAAGGGTCTGTTGGGTGAGCCCGTGCGTGTGGTCAAGACCCCATCTGCAGCCCCGGGCGCTCCACGACGGACCACCAACTGCTCCACACGGCAGCTGGTGGGGGGCGAATGCTGCTTTCCGCCCGCGTTCGCTGCCCCGTGTCCCCAGAGCAGGCTCCGGGGTCATCGCACCTGTGCCCGCTGCCGCCCCTCCTGGAACGCCTGCGCCCCTGTCCCGAGCGCCTCCCGGGGACTGCAGCCGGCCCTGTGCTCCCCTGCAGAAGAGCTGCTCCCCGGGTGAGGGCGCCTTTCGACTTGGCTTCGCAGCCGCAACATCGGCCAGTGTCCCCCTGGGTGGTAGACCCAACTGCAGCCTGCTGCCCGCCGCTCCTTGGCACCTGAGCAGTCCCCTGGCCGGGCACCTCCTCCCCACAGGGCCGTTTGCCCGGGAAGGGCCTCTTGTCCCCAAACCCGGGGGACGTCGTCCTCGGGCCATACACTGGGGGTTCTGTTTCTAGAGCCGCCTTGCCTTCTCGTGGCCCTGTCCACAGCCAGCTCCTCGGGGCCTCTCCTGAGCCGCCACCCCCTGTCCCAGCTGGCCTCAGGCCACTGCATCAGCCACTGCCCAGTTCCGGGGTTCCTGGCCCAGGCCTCTCTCTTGAGCCCCAACCCACAGGGCCACCTGGTGGCCGCAGGAAGGCCCAGGCGACCTCACACGTCACCTGTCCCCTTGTTTTCCCACTTGGGTGGGCGTCCCCTGCTCTGTCCCCAGGCTCTGTCGCCGGCCTCGGCCTCCAGCAACATGACCCCTGGCCACGGCCCTCGGCACTGAGCAAGCTGGGTGTGGAGGCCCCGCTCCCCAGTGCCGAAACGAGACGAGCAGGACTGCGGCCCGCCTCAGCCCTGCGGGGTCGCACAGACGGGCAGGGTGCGCCTGCTTGCTCTCGGGCCTGTGTCAGGCCTGGGTGTGGCAGCGCCCAGCCCGTGGCCACCATGTGGCGCTCGCCCAGTGCCCATCACACTGTGTCAGCCTCACGTCGCCGCAGAGCACCCAGGGGCAGGTGACCACGGCCCCGGCGGCCGGCTGCCGGGCGCGGCGGAGACCAGCCGCTGAGCCCGCCGGCGGCCGCCCCACCCCCAACTCGGGCCTGGCCGACTCGGAAGCGGGAGCCGCGTGGAGATAGAAAGTGTCTTTATTTGGACGCCGTTGCACCTGCACCGGAGCCCGGGCCGGCAGCGGCAGCAGGGATCGTGCTACCAGGTGGGACGACGGACAGCGAGGACATTCAGACAGGACTTACTAATGGGGTGTGGACGACACCAAGCTAACCTAGACACGCGCCGGCCCTCGGCCCTGCCCCTCCCTGCGGAAGCTCCAGTCGCGCGAGGCTGGCCCCCAGCCGGGCAGAGGCCGGCTTCCAGTGCCGGAGGGCCCCGGCTCTCCACCACGGGGCTGCCCTGCCCAGTTCTCGCTGGCCCTCGGGGGCTGCCCTGACCAACAGCGCTTACTCCCCGGTGGTTCCGGCCGGAAACTCTGGGTCCAACCCGGTCCTCGTCCCTCAGGAGAGAGGTGCTTCCTCTCGGGCCCCGGGCCCGGGGCCCCACACCCGAGAACTGACCGCCGGCCAGCACTGTGGGCCAGAAACAGCCCTGGGACCACAGGCCTTGGCCTGAGCCAAGTCCCCACGCTGGCAGAGGAGGCAGGAGCCTGCGGGCGCCCCCCAGCTCTGCTGCTTCCTCCCCAGAGCCGACCCCTGCTGTCTCCCCAAGGCCCAGCCGCCTGCCCTGGGTGGCAGCGGAGCTCAGCCAGTGCCCTGGCCCCGAAGAGCCTCTGGGACCCCCAGCTGGACCTCGGCACAGCCACGGGGACATGGTCTGGCCCCATTCCAGGCTCACGGGGCCAGCCTCCCGCCCTCTGCCTTTCTAGCGAGGCAGCAGCTAGGGCGCTGGGAGGAGCCAGCGCACAGGGACGCAGGGCTGGTGCGGGCACTGATGCCCAGCGCTGACCGCCAGCCTGCACGTGCTCCCCAGGGGGCCGCAGCTGCCTGGCCCTGCCTCTGCACCTGGGCCTCGAGGGGTTCCAATGTCTTGTGGGAACCTGGGCGCCGGGCACCCCGGGTGTGGGCCTTACCCCCTGCCGCCCCTTTGCCTCAGCCTTCATGCCCGTCTGTCCTGCCCTCCCCACCCTCTTCCACCGCCCCACCCCCCTCCCGTCCCAGACCCAAGCTGTCCACCCTCCTGGTCGTCTTCTCTGTGGGGCCTGTGCAGTCTGCAGCCAGCTCCCCGTGCCCCCCGTCCCACGCCCTCCACCCCCCTCCTCCTGGTCACTGGCTGGCAGCCCCCACCCTGGGCTTTGGCTCTCCGAGGACCGCGCCAGTTTCGCCCCGTCCCTCCCACACTGCTGGGCTGTGGGGCTGCCATGCCCAACTGGCGTGGCCGGAGCACTGGGGCGCCCAAGGTAGGGGTCAGTGAGGACATGAGGCCCCGGTCGGGAGCCCGAGCCCAGGCCGCCTGGTCCCAGTCACGGTTCAGACAGGACAGAGGGCACCTGGGTCTGTCCGGGAAACCCAAACCCGCAGGTCTGAGTCCTGTGGGAACGGACGCGTGGGCAAACACATGGCGCCAGCGGCCTTCCTCCCGCCGGCGGAGGCCCCAGGGGAGGGGCCAGGGACGGCCAGAGGGCAGCAGTAGGCACTGGAGATGGAGCCAAGCTGCTCCGAGAGGATGCGGCCTCCCTCCCTGTCCCTGCGGAGGGGAGGCGGCGCCCCCGGGGCGGGGAGGCTGCGCCCGGCCCAGCACACTCACAGGCAGGTGCGCTTGGTCCCCAGCACTGCCCGCGGGCAGCAAGGCGGGTGAGGAGGAGGGGTGGGCCGCCACGGGCCTGGGGGAGGGGCGGGGGTACCCTGTTCAGAGGTGACCTGCAAGTTCAAGTGATGCAGAAAAGTATCAAAGAGGCAAGACAGTCTCTGCCCCTGGCCGGCCCAGGGTGGGCGGCGGAGGAGCCACGGGGGAGTGGCCCCAGCTCCCCCCTGGGGGGCCCGGCCCCGGCCCTGACAACTGGGCCAAGGAGTCTGCTGTACAAAACAGGCCAGGGCCAAGGGTCCGGTCCCGGAGAGAC